GACCCTCCTTCCCCGGGGCTGGGCAGCAGGGGGGTTTCTCTTTGCCAGACTCCCCAGATACACAGGCTTCCCTTGGGATTGTGGGGGACCCCTCTCCCTGCCTGGCCCTTTAAATTTTTAGGGGACACTCACCTGGCTTGTGGGGGATCTGTCTCCCTGCCTGGCTCCCCTGGTGGAGGGACCCCCTCCCAGTCACTGTACTTTTTCCTGAGGGTCCCTTTTCCCTCCATCCTCTAGTTCTCCATCTCCTTGTTTGTCCCTAACCACCATTTCTGGGACCATGGGGCCCTCCTGCCCCACCTTGTTTATGGGCTCCCCCATTCTCCTCATTCCCCACAGTTCCACCCCCCCCAAGGGACCACAGTGTCCCTTCCACAGGGGTGACAGTTGGGGGTACTGGTTCCACAGGAGGAACTGCCGGGGGAACCCCAACTGCCTGGTGGGCATCGGGGAGCACGTCTGGCTGGGGGAGATAGATGAGAACACCTTCCACAACATCGACGACCCCAACTGCGAGCGCCGCAAGAAGGTACCTCCCTGCCCCCCTGAACATCCCCTGCCCTTCCAGCCCCCGGGGGAGGAGGGGAGGTGACAAAGTGGTCAGGGTTGGAAGGGATCTCTGGAGATCATCCAGTCCAACCCCCTTGCTAGAGCAGGATCCCCTAGAGCAGATCCCACAGGAACACATCCTGGCAGGGCTGGAATGTCTCCAGGGATGGAGACTCCACAGTCTCCCTGGGCAGCCTGTCCCAGGGTTCTGCCACTCTCAAAGTGTAGAAGTTTTTCCTCATGTTCAATTTGACCCTCCTGTGTTCCAGTTTGTGCCCATTGCCCCTTGTCCTGTCACTGGGCACCCCAGAGAAGAGGCTGCCCCCTCCCTGACACCCCCTGTAGATATTGATCAGCACTGATCAGATCTCCCCTCAGGCTCCTCCTCTCCAGCTGAGCAGCCCCAGCTCTCCCAGCCTTTCCTCACAGGCAGATGCTCCAGTCCCCTCAGCATCTCAGTGCCCTGGGATGGACTCTCTCCAGAGGCTCCTTGTCCTTCATGAACTGGGGAGCCCAGAGCTGGACCCAGTTCTCCAGATGTGGCCTCACCAGGGCAGAGCAGAGGGGCATGAGAACCTCCTTTGACCTTCTGGCCATGCTCTTCTTAATGCTCTCAGGAGGCCATTGGCCTTCGTGGGTACAGGGACATGTTGCTGGCTCATGGTCACCCTGTTGTCCACCAGAACCCCAAAGTCCTTCTCCCCAGAGCTGCTCTCCAGCAGCTCAGCCCCCAACCTCTCCTGGTCCATAGGTGACACTTCTCCCTCCCTCCCCGTGCTGGGCACTTTGAGTTGTGGCTCTTTGTGTGACTCCAGAACGGCTTTTTCCCAAGAAACAGCCCCAAAACTTCTCCCCCCAAGCTGCTGGCTCTCTGCTTGTCCCCCCCAGCAGGCAGTGACCACTCTTGCTTTCTCTCTCACCCCAGAATGCGTTCGTGGGCCTAACCAACCTCGGCGCCACCTGCTACGTCAACACTTTCTTGCAGATGTGGTTCCTCAACCTGGAGCTCCGACAGGCCCTTTACTTGTGTCCCAGCACCTGCAGTGAGCGCGCAGAGGGGCTCCCCAGGGACAAAGGTGGGTGCAAGATGGGCTTCTCACAGAGTTTGTTCATTTTCTTCTGGAGCAGCTCTGCTCTGGAGCGAGGCTGGGAGAGTTGGGGTGTTCAGCCTGGAGAAGAGAAGGCTCCAGGGAGACCTTAGAGCACCTTCCAGTGCCTGAAGGGGCTCCAGGAAAGCTGGGGAGGGGCTTGGGACAAGGGCAGGGAGGGATGGGATGAGGGGGATGGATTGAAACTGGAAGAGGGAGATTGAGGTTAGACATGAGGAGGAAATTCTTGGGTGTGAGGGTGGTGAGAGCCTGGCCCAGGTTGCCCAGGGAAGCTGTGGCTGCCCCATCCCTGGCAGTGTTGAAGGGCAGGTTGGATGGGGCTTGGAGCAGCCTGGGCTGGTGGGAGGTGTCCCTGCCCATGCAGGGGGTTTGGATCTGGATGATCTTGAAGGTCCTTTCGAACCCAAACCATTCTGGGATTCTATTATTCTATAAATTTTGGGCTTTGGGTGAACTGATGGGTGAAGCTGCCACCCAACATCCCATCTCCACGCTGGTGTTTGTGAGTCTGGGCTTTTAGGATCAAACCGTAACTAACCTGAAATAGTTTTGAAATCAGGGAGATCTCATCTGGTTGAAAAATGCCATTTGGTGTTCCTTTCTGGCTTCCCAAACTGGTTTCCAGCTCAGTGATGGTGCTGGGGGTGGAAGCACATGAGCTGGGGCTGATTGTGCTTCCATGGGAGGATGGAAATTTGGGTGCTTGGCACAAGTGAGACTCCCAGTGCCCTCAATGTTGGTGTGGTGGCCTTGGGTGACATCCTTTGTGTCTGGTGTGGCACTATGAGTGTGCTCAGGGTCAGGGCAGCTGCCTGATTTCTTCTGTCACTGTTTTTATACAGTTTTTCATAGAATCCCAGATTGTTTTGGGTTGGAAGGGACCTTAAATATTTAGATCCAGCCCCCTGCATGGGCAGGGACACCTCTCAGCAGCCCAGGCTGCTCCAAGCCCCATCCAACCTGCCCTTCAACACTGCCAGGGATGGGGCAGCCACAGCTTCCCTGGGCAGCCTGGGCCAGGCTCTCACCACCCTCACACCCAAGAATTTCCTCCTCATGTCCAACCTAAATCATTAGATTAAAATTTGAAATGAATTCTCAACATTTAGGGTAAAAAGCAGCAGTTGCTACAGGCTGATTGGCACACGCTGCTTCAACTCTTCACTCACAGCTTGTGGGGTATTTATGTGTGATTTATGGATATTTATTCAATGATTTTAAAGGTCTTTTGCAACTTAAATTATCCCCTGCCCTGCTGAGGGCCTTGGATGTCACCACTGACATGAACCACCTCAAATCTCACCATCATTTAAAACACCTTAAAAAAACCAAATCACTTCTCACCCTTAAATCTACCCGTCCATAGGAGGAACAAGCAAATTACCTGGAACCTCCTGCCCTCAAATTCTCTCTTATCCCACATTCCTTGCCTTGTGTGACTTTCTGTTTCTGCCAGACTACGAGCCCCAGACCATTTGTGAGCACCTGCAGTACCTGTTTGCCCTGCTGCAGAACAGCAAGCGCCGCTACATCGACCCCTCGGGCTTCGTCAAGGCGCTGGGCTTGGACACGGGGCAGCAGCAGGTGGGTTTGGGACCTGCCCACCAGGAATTAGCTCTTCTCAAGGAACTTATTGTGACACCAAGAAACCCCCTTTTGTGTTCGTGTTTAGGGCCAACCTCTTGGGGCAGGCAAAAAGGAGAGAAATGCTCCAGGCCCTAATTGGTGGGGGAGGTTTGGATGAGCCTGGGGAGATCTGGGGAAGCCAAAGGGGAGGACAGGGGGAACCTGGGGAGATCAGGGGGAGGCCAAGGGGGAGGGCAGGGGGAACCTGGGGAGATCAGGGGGAGGCCAAGGGGTTGGGCAGGGGGAACCTGGGGAGATCAGGGGGAACCTGGGGAGATCACAGGGAAGCCGAGGGAGATCAGGGGAAGACTGAGGGGGGAGATTAGGGAGAGGCTGAGGGGAGCCTGGGAAGGTCAGGAGGAGGTGAGGGGACTCTGGGGAGATCAGGATGAGGCCGAAGAGGAGATCAGGAGAAGCCCAGGGAGATGAGGAAGAGGCCAAGAAGGTCAAGACGAGGCTGAGGTGATCAGGAGGAGCCCAAGGAGTGGTGCGGTGAGGACAGGGAGTGTGTTAGGGTCATTTCATAGGTGTTTCACGGGCTGCTCCTCCCAGGGCTGGGAGGTCCTTGGTAGTGGGTGGTTTAGTGGGGCTTGAAGCGTCTTGACAGGACCAAAAGATGTTTGGTCAGATCACTGAGAGCCAGGGAAGGTCCTGAGGGAGTGTGTGGGGCAGAGTAAGCCGTGTTAGAAAGGGTCCTGTTAGAAGAGTCCTGGTGAGTTCTGCAGGGCTCTGGCTGAAGCTGAAGAGGGCTCGGGAGAATAGAGGCTTGAAAAGACACTTTGAGAAGGAAGGGGGGGATTGTTGGAGGAAGAGTTAGAGCACGAGCAGGCATTTCCTCAGGAGGGTGTGGGGGGGAAGGAGGCAGTCACTCCTGACCCACCCGTGATGGAAAGGACAGCTGGGAGAGGCCAAAGCCCCTTTGGTTTGGGAAAGGAAAGCAAAGAAGAGCAAGGAGGGAAGAGGAAGGCCCGGAGATGAGCACAGGGAAGCTCTCAAGCCTTGCAGGAGAGGATGAATTCTCAGGGCAGCTGGTTTGGGTTGTTTGTTTTTCTTCTCACTTGCAGTGCAGGCAGGGCCAGCCTGTGTTGCATGTGCTGAGCTTTGAAAGCTGAGCCCTAACGAGCTAGAAAGCTCTGCAGGAGGTTTTTCTTTCCTTCCAGAGCCCTGTGAGGAGCAGGGCAGGAGTCAAACCACCCGGTGTGGCTGGCTGGGAGCCAGGTTAGCTCGAGGTCCCTACAGCTCCTTTCAGGCAAATTCCTCTTTTTCTTTCTTTCTCCCCACTTTTGTTTGTTTGCCTTTTTTTTTTTTTTTTAACTGTTCAATGCACTGTGTGTAGGGGCTGTGGGTAATTTGCAGTCAATTAGTGACAAGGTTGTGATGAGGCTTTGTGCTGGGGGAAGGGGTTGTTGACTTGGTTTTCTTTTCTAGGATGCCCAGGAGTTTTCCAAACTCTTCATGTCACTGCTGGAAGATACTTTATCCAAACAAAAAAACCCAGATGTCCGAAATATCGTTCAAAAGCAGTTCTGTGGAGAATATGCCTATGTGACAGTGTAAGTGTCAGGTCTTGGGGATGAAGCTGTCTGTAGCTTTTTACATGTTTTTGAAGAAGTTGAGGGGGGGGAAAAATCCTTCCTCACAAGTGGAGCAGGCAGGTAAGGTGCTGCTGAAACGTTTTGTGAGAGGATTTTCACTTTGCTGATGCTGTGTGCGTGGTGGTGCAGTTCTCCTGCTCCTTTGAATCCCTTAATGAAAATTTGCTCATGAAACCTGGGAGCGAGTGAATGGAAATGAAAATCCTGCAGCCAGCAAATGAAGAGTACTCAGGTGTCATAGTTTCATTCCTGTGTTTTCTGAGCTGTGGATTTCACCTGGAAAATGATACAAAATAAGATGTGAGTTGCAACCTCCTGCTTTTGTTGGTGGGTAATGTTATCACCTTTTTGGCAGAGTGTTCATGGTGTAGGGGTGTGAACCACATGAATTCCTACTTAAAACAACTTTGTCCTCCTGCTTTTATAGCAGAAGGAGCAGTTTTGTAGTGGCTGGGGAGTTGGGGACATGTGAACCAGTGAACTGACCTTGTGGTTTTGTCTTCTTTTTCTTCACTCCTAGCTGCAACCAGTGTGGCAGGGAGTCCAAACTTGTGTCTAAATTTTATGAGCTGGAGTTAAACATCCAAGGGAACAAGCAGCTGACAGACTGTATAACAGAATTCCTGAAGGTATGAGTTTGGTTTATCTTGGAATCCTGCTATTCTTAGGAAGGTGCTTCAGTTCCTTCCTTCAATGAGCAGCCTTTGGGGTTGGTATCAGGGCGAAGTGACTGAGTTACCTCAGGGAGATGCCTGCAAAAGGAAATGTGTTTTTCCTGTGGACTCACAAGATGAGGATTGAGTCATGCACTTGGGAAGCCAGGGGGCAAGGGGCAGCTCTGGGCTGTAGCACATGTGCATGTTATGGCTTTAAAACCACTTGAAAGTCACATGTTTACTCCAAATTGTTTCTCAGCAAAGTTAGGGGAAAAAGTCCCTGAAATCTGACCAAAACTCCCTGGTGCTTTGTCCTGGGTAGCACTGGGAGAACAGGGTGTTTTCTCCAGCAGTGCTCATCTGCACAGCAACAGGAGACATTCCCTGGTCTAAAATGTGCTCTCAAAAATCCTCGGGAGGGCTGGGAATAGCTGTGGGAACAGCTGCAAGAGCTCTTAATTCCACTTGAAAACTGGCCTAGATCTCAAGCTTCAAGGTGTGGATTCAGCTGAAAGTATTTAGGGCAGAACCAACCTGAAATGTGACTCTGTCCCGGGGCTGTTGGGCAGCTGATGTGCTTAGCAAACCAGTTGCTCTGCTGGGGGAAGGTCTGTAATATAAAAACAACTGGTTTGTGAATGAGCTTTAAAGTCCCCAAGCTCTGAACTTCCAGTTTGGCTGCTCCTTCAAACCACACAGCCTGGTGACCTTGCTGAGCTGCAGTCCTCTGGCCCAGCCCTGCCTTCAGACCTGTTTGGATGCAGATGATGACTCTTCCATGGTGATGGTTGTTTGCTGAGCACGAGAGGGTTGTAGTTCTCAGGGTAAAATGTGGCTTTACATTAACTTGGTCCATGTGAGCTCGTAAAAGGGCAATTTAATTATTTCCCATAACCCTCAAGTAAAAAACAACTCAGTCAAGTGGAGAGCAAACCTGAGAGTCTTCTAAGTGACCTGAGAATGGGGCTCAATTCAGTCTCAAATGTTCCTTAAAGGGAGAGCAGCCTATTATTAAAACACATTCTTAGTGTGTGCTGTTTACCAAGAGATTATTTTGGGAAAACATTGGGTGAAAACTTCAATGGTTAAAATACCTTTGGTGCTTTTCAGAGAATTAGAGAATCATAGAATATATTAGCATAGAATGGTTTGGGTTGGAAGGGACCTGAAGGATCATGTAGATCCAACCCCCCTGCATGGGCAGGGACACCTCCCACCAGACCAGGTTGCTCCAAGCCCCATCCAACCTGCCCTTCCAACACCCCCAGGGATGGGGCAGCCACAGCTTCCCTGGGCAACCTGGGCCAGGCTCTCACCACCCTCACACCAAAGAATTTCCTCCTCATGTCCAACCTCAATCTCCTCTCTTCCAGTTTGAAGCAGCTGCCTCTCATCCCATCCCTCCCTGCCCTTGTCCCAAGTCCCTCCCCAGCTTTCCTGGAGCTCCTTCAGGCACTGGAAGGTGCTCTCAGGTCTCCCTGGAGCCTTCTCTTCTCCGGGCTGAACACCCCAACTCTCCCAGCCTGAGAGATCCTCCTGTTGTCAAGTAGCTTAGACTTGTTGACTTTTCCATGGTAACCTGTTCTCAAGACCTTTCTTTCTGTCCTCTTCCTGGCTCAGGAGGAAAAATTAGAAGGGGACAATCGTTATTTTTGTGAAACCTGTCAGAGTAAGCAGAATGCCACCAGGAAGATCAGGCTGCTGAGTCTTCCCTGCACGCTCAACCTGCAGCTGATGCGCTTCGTGTTCGACAGGTAAGACATTCTGGAGAGCAGGTGGGAGCTGCTGGGGTTGTGTGGAAGGTCTTTGGGGAGTTGCCTGCTCTGGGATGCTTGGGTTGGGAGCTTCTCTGGGGCTGCAGGGTGGGCTTCAGGGGGAGTTCTTTGGAGATGTGAGCTGTTGTTGCTGTCCCCTGATCCGAAGCTTTCTCTCCTCACAGACAAACTGGCCATAAGAAGAAGCTCAACACCTACATTGGCTTCTCTGAGCTGCTTGACATGGAGCCTTTTATGGAACAAAAAAGTGAGTTTGGTGTACTGGGTTTTGTTAACTTGCCCCACTGCCCCTCAGCATGGGAGAGAAGATCTGCTCTGAACCCCCTTCTTGACAGAGAATTATCTCAAGAGCTGTTTGAAGCCCGTGCATCCAATACCTGCCACAGCAAGTGCCTTCCACAACCCCCTTAGCGAGGTCTTGCAGGTTCAAGTGTAGCTTTTGTCCAGTGCCTTGTGAAAATAGCAAGTGCTGGGGAAGAAAAGAGCTGCCTTGTTTCATCCAGAGCACTTCCCAACTGCTGCTCTCCTTCCCAGATGGTCTCTATGTCTACGAGCTCAGCGCCGTCCTCATCCACCGCGGCGTCAGCGCCTACTCCGGCCACTACATTGCCCACGTGAAGGACCCTCAGACTGGGGAGTGGTACAAGTTTAATGATGAAGACATCGAGAAGATGGAGGGCAAGAAACTGCAGTTGGGGATTGAGGAAGATCTAGGTAAAACCTTTCAGTTGTGAGTGCCCTTTTAAAATCCCTCTTTGCACCAAAACCACGGAGGCTGAATCTGCAGAGGCCCCATTGCTCCTACGCAGGCTGTCACGGCTGAGGAGGAACGTGTGGAACAGCAGCTCTGTTCATTGCAGGTTCAGCCCTGTGTGAGTGTTTACACAGACCTCGTGATCAGTTCCTCTCCTTGAGTGTCTCCCTTGCCTGCCAAGGAGCAGATAAGATGTTGATAACTCAGGCAGCTGTTGCCTATCGGGATGCAACAGGCCAGTCCCGCTTCCTTGGCCGGCATGCGAAAGGAGCCATAGGAACTGATAACAAAGTTACTTTCAGTTTCCTTAACAAATGATGGTTTTATTTCCACTGAGATTCTTTACTTAGAGTCTCCATAGAAAAGATCTTGATCCAAGTCATGGCTTGGAAGCTGGTATTGCCTTTGGACTTTGCACTTTTGACTTCTTTGCTCTCTGTGGTTCCGCTGCTGTTGGCTCATCTTGTTCCAGGGTCCTGGTGCTGCCCAGAGAATGTGTTCCCAGGACAGACCAGGGTCTTGGTTTCTTTGGAGAGCTTGGGCTGAGGCTGAACCTGTGGGTTTCTTAGCCTGTGGTTGATATGGGAGCAGTCCAGCATTAAACTGGGATTTGGAGTGTTTGGATTTGCCATCACTCATTGTTCTTTAGTGCAGGGTGATCAGGGAAACAGGGAAGATAATACCAGAAATTCCACTTGCAATGTCAGCAGTTTATTCCCAGGCCCACTAGCCCACTAGGATGTTTGTGCTTTGCTGCAGTTGGACATCCTACAGGAAAGCTGGGGAGGGACTTCTCACAAGGTCTTGTAGTGAGAAGACAAGGGGTAATGAGTTAAACCTGAAAGAGGGGAGTTTTAGGTTGGACATGAGTGGGAAATTCTTCAGTGTGAGGGTGGTGAGACCCTGTCCCAGGTTGCCCAGGGAAGCTGTGGCTGCCCCATCCCTGGCAGTGTTGAAGGGAGGGTTGGATGGAGCTTGGAGCAGCCTGGTCTGGTGGGAGGTGTCCCTGCCTGTGCAGGGGGCTTTAAACTAGGTGATCTTGAAGGTCCCTCCAACCCAAACCATTCTATGATGAGTTATGAAATGTTGCCTTTCTTTAAAACATCCTTAATAACAAGGAAGACACCCTTGGATGTATTTCCTCCCTTAGTTTGTTGTAAAGCTGGCTGAGCAGGCATGGGATGTTCTCCTGCCTCTCCTTCCTTCAATGCCCCCACTTTATTTTCAGCTCCCTTCCTAGGAAACACCTTCTTGCATTTCCTCACGACCTGCAGAAACTCTGGCTGCCCCCGGAGCAGCTTTGTCACGCTCTTCATGTGTGACAACCACTTGCTTGCAGCTGGATTGTGGAGCTGGCTAGACATCTAGTGGTGTAAGATAGAAAAATAAGCCTCAAAAGGAAATCAGAGCTTCCTAGCTTTTCTTTTCAACCTCCTGAGTTCCCCAGAATAGCAAAATATGATGCAAATAAACCACTGTGGTCTGGATCTTGTAACATTTTATGCTTAACCACAAGTAAGTTCTTGCTGAGAGACAAGGCTTCATGGAGAATAGAACTAAAGTGTGTTTAGAAGCCCCTAGAATCTGGGAGCCTTAATATATTTGTCAAATGTTGATGATATTTGGCTGCTCCAAGAAAACTGAGACTCTTTTTGGTCACAAATACAGTGGGAGAGGGTCTGTCTGGTGGGGGGAAGGGCGGAAATCCTGTGGCCTGGCTGCACAGATGGGAACAATTTGGAAAATATTTGGAGAAAGTGAAGATAAAGAGGGTCTGGGAAGTCCCCTGAATGGTGTGGTGAGAGATGGATATGTGTTTTTCCAGAATTTGGGAAAAACAGGCACTTCTCTTAACACTTCAACGTTTTAGACTTTGACCTATGGAGGGTTGTTCCCTTTTATTATTTTTTTTTAATTAAAGAACTGTTTGATTTTTGCAGCTGCAGATCAGTGGTTTTGCCTTGCCTGGCAGCCTGTAGAGGGCAACTCTTGCACCAGTTTCCATCCCACCACCAGCTACTCCAAAAAGACCATTCCAAGGGCCCTTCCCTCCCTGAAAGCTTTGTTCCCCACGGAAGGGAGTGTGGTTTTCCACACACACCATCACCTGTACATCAGATTTTTCTCCCCTGAGGATCTTCCTCTTGCTTTGCAGTGTCAGGACACACCAGGGGAAGAAGCAGAGAGGGGAAAAGGCTGTTTTTGCAAGAGCAGCTTTTGGCTGCAGGAGGTTTAACTGGGGAGAGAAGAAAGGCTCTTGTAGAAGGGTGGTTCAGAACAAGCTCCTAATTTTAGTCCCTTTGAATCACCCGGCCTGCAGAAATGCTGGAGAGATTTGGGTCTTGCTTTGGGCTGCAATTTTGGCTCATGCCAAGCCCAGTGCTTGGCAAACAGAGGCCTGGCAGGGAGAAGGATGCTGGCTAGGTGACAGACTTGTCCCATTGAGGGAGAATGGGTGAAGGAGTGTGGGTGCTGATTATGTTTTCCCTCCTGTACTGCAGCAGAACCCTCCAAATCCCAGACTCGTAAACCCAAGTGTGGGAAAGGGACCCACTGCTCCAGAAATGCCTACATGCTGGTGTACAGGCTGCAGACCCGGGAGAAATCCCTGACAGTTGAAGTACCAGGTAAGGGACCTTTGACTCTCCTGCCTTCTCCATCTCACCTTGGGATGCTCCAAGTGGGCCAGGAGTTGGAATTTTCCTCAAAGCCCCTTTTGTGATCACTTGTGAGTCCCCAAAGGTGCCCCATGGCCTCTTGCTGTCATGCCTCAGGAAACCTTTGAGCTTTCCAAGCAGTTAGATAATATTAGCTTGAAGATCCCACCCCCTTTCTGCTCCCACTTTGCTCTCCTAACCAGCCAGAGGAGATGGGAAGGGGTGAGGAGGAGCCATGTGCAGCAGCAGGAGCGTTTGGATTTGCAAATGGGATCCCACAGGAGCCACTCAGGCTCCTGAAGGAATAGCCTGGTGAAATGTCACCAGTTAAATGTCACCTCCCCACGCTGGGGGTGAATAATCCTGACACATGTCAAGTTTCTTCTGCCAGTGCTGAGAAGAAAGGGGAGGAAAACAGGAGGATACAAGCCCTTAGCAGGAGTTCTGTATGAGCGGCGTTCGTGTCGTGCTGTAGAATTCCTGGGGGTGGCAGAAATCCCTGTGGGTTTGGCCTCTGGATTTAATGCTGCTGCATATTTGCGTGTTGCTGGATTAGAAGTATACATTAGGCTCATGGTGCTGATGGGGATGCAAGGTTGTTCCACCACCTTCCCTCTTCTGTGAAGCAGGGACAGTAGAAGTGACATGTCCCTAAGGGAGGCATGTCCCTAAGGCACGTCCCCATAATAAAGGGAGACCTTATTGCCATGACCCAGTCCATAAAGGGTGGCTGCCAAGAAGATGGAGACTCCCTTGTGCCAAGGAGAAGGAAAAGCCAAGGGGTGATGGGTACAAGTTGCTCCTGGGGAGATTCCCATTGGACTCCAGGAGAAAATGTTTCCCCATGAGAACAGGTGGACATTGGACTAATCTCCCCAGGGAAGAGGTGGATTCCCCCACATGGGCCAGTTGGAAATCTCAGCCTGACAGGTGCTGGGCCACCTCATTTCAACTGGATGATTACCTGGAAAGGTTGGACCAGATGATCCTTGGGGTCCCTTCCAACCTGAAAGAGTCGATTCTGTCATCTGTAAACTTGACTCTGTGATACAACCTAGTATTCTATGATGCCCCTCTGGACCTCTCCTGTTTGGATGCAGAGAGTCTAAATCCTCCAGCTTTCCCCCCCTAATCCCAGCACCAAACCTTTTCCAGCCCCCACTACTACAACCCACCCTCCGAGTCCCACAGCGCTGGGAAATAGCTCCAATTCCTGCCTCAGATCTGCTTTTTAGGTCCTGTTTCCTGAGCTCTCTTGCATTCCCTTTCCTCCTGCCCCTCTGCCCAAAACAATAACTCAGCAAAAGCTTCTCCACCCAGCTCCAAATTCCTGCGCAGCCCGGCGGTTGCCTTTGTTTCCCGTGGAAACCTGCCAGGGAACAGGGAGCGAAGGGCAACAGTCGAGCCGTGCGGTTGCGGGGTGGTTTCATGCAACTGTAAATTTGAGGCATTTTCCTTTGATGCTGTTAAAAGTGGCTTTTCTGGGACACTGGAGAGACCTAACTTGGCTCTGACCTCAAGAGGGTCAAGCTGGTTGTTTTTTAATACCCTGGGTACTGTGCTCTCTGGCCACACAAGCATTAACCTTTCTGGAAATATTTTAGCTCTTCAAAATACTGTTAAAATAGGAAAAGCTTTCAGATAAGCAGAGTTTTCCCCCTGCTTTACACCAGCTCTGAGAGGGAAGTGTTTTATCTCCTTGGTCTTTTTTTTTTCCCCTGCTGAGGTTTGGTTTATTTGGGGTTTTTTTTTCCAGCAGTGACAGCAAAAATTCCTGTTCTCCTTCACCTTCCCGTTGACACCAGGATCTGCCCTGCCTTATCTCCCATCTCCTGAGGGCTTTTTGCCCTTGGGTTTGCAACATGCTCGACCCCTCACTGGGCTGCATGTTGGGACAGGCTTTGGGTGCATCCAAAGGGTGTAAAGCTCTTGCTTCTCCCCCGGGAACAACGGGTCCTTGGCAGCACAGAGGAGCTGCTCTCGGTGGGAGGCTGAGAAATGGCTGGAGTGAGGGAATAAATGGGGAGGGAATGAAGCAGGCAGCAAAGTGTCCAGCTCTGCAGCTTCTCACAAAGCCCCATGGCACTTGGGCTGGCTGCCAATGTTGGCACAGGCCTTGTCAGCAGGCAAAGGGCTTCTTTACGCAGCCAGCAGCCCCCAGGGAATTGTTTTTTTGGGGCTGTACCACGCAGGACAGTTGCATTTTGTGAGACCCCCCCTCCCCTGCAGGGTTGGGTCCAGTGCTGGAGCCCCCAGCACAAGAAGGACATGGAGCTTCTGGAGAGAGTCCAGAGGAGGCCACAAAGATGATCCAAGGGCTGAAGCAGCTCTGCTCTGGAGCCAGGCTGGGAGTTGGGGTGTTCAGCCTGGAGAAGAGAAGGCTCCAGGGAGACCTTAGAGCACCTTCCAGTGCCTGAAGGGGCTCCAGGAAAGCTGGGGAGGGACTTGGGACAAGGGCAGGGAGGGATGAGACAAGAAGGAACAGTTTCAAGCTGGAAGAGGGGAGATTGAGGTTGGACATGAGGAGGAAATTCTTTGCTGTGAGGATGATGAGACATTGGAAAAGGTTGCCCAGGGAAGCTGTGGCTGCCCCATCCCTGGCAGTGTTGAAGGGCAGGTTGGATGGGGCTTGGAGCAACCTGGTCTGGTGGGAGGTGTCCCTGCCCATGCATAGGGGTTGGAACTGAATGATCTTTCAGGTCCCTTCCAACCCAAACCATTCCATGATTTAATCCTCTACCACCAAAAATACTGGAGAGAGCAACATCCACGTCCTTGGCTTTCAGAAAGACCCTGTTGTTGGGAGCTACAGGGAGGAATTTTTAGACTTGCTTGTTGTCCCCAAATAACCCATAGCAGCGATAATTAACATAATTGGCTTTTTTTTCCCTTGAAATGACTCTTCTTTTGGCCCAACAGCTTTTCTGCAGGAGCTGGTTGAGCGTGATAATTGCAAGTTCGAGGAGTGGTGCAACGAGATGGCCGAGATGCGCAAGCAGAGCGTGGCCAGGGGCAAAATCAAACACGAAGAGGTGAAGGAGCTCTACCAAAAGTTACCTGCTGAAGCTGGTCTGTAAGATAATTGTGGTAGTATTTTGTCTTAGACCCTTGTTAAGATCAGTATTGTTTGTCACTAACCCCCAGCCCACCTCTGCAGCCTGGCCATCACTGTCTGTCGTTGCTGTGTGCATGCTTAGGGTTTGCTTTCTCCCTTTCTATTTTTTTTTTCCTGCCTTAACCTATTTTTCTCCTTTTTTGCTCATTCTTGTGGCCTCTGGTGTTGCTAATTCCCTCTTGCTCCTTCCCCATCAGTCAGTCTCCTGGGGGCCTCCATGCATTGTGACTGTTTTCTTCTGCCCAGTGAGCAGCTCGTCTCCTCGGTAGCATTTAGGTGAAAAAAGTGGCTGGTCTCAAACTGCCAACTCAGGTCAGGTTGGGGAGCTGTTGATCCAAACTAATCAGCAGGTCACAGGGTAGGGGGGTGCCTGACCTCCAGCAGAAAATTAGGTTCATCCCTGCCAGTGCTTTTAAGCCCCATGTCCAAGCTCTGTAGCCCATCCCATGAGGGACTGGAGTTAATCCCTTTCCTTTGCTCTTTGTGTCTTGTCGCCTTTGCTCCTCTGAGCACAAGGATTTTTATTCCCCTTCCTTGCTTATCATTGAATCATGGAATGGTTTGGGTTGGAAAGGACCTTAAAGATCATCTAGATTCAGCCCCCCTGCATGGGCAGGGACACCTCCCACCAGACCAGTTTGCTCCAAGCCCCAACCAACCTGCCCTTCAACAATGCCAGGGATGTTCTCTGGGCAACCTGGGCCAGGGTCTCACCACCCTCACAGCAAAGAATTTCCTCCTCATGTCCAACCTCAGTCTCCCCTCTTCCAGTTTCAATCCATTCCCCCTCATCCCATCCCTCCCTGCCCTTGTCCCAAGTCCCTCCCCAGGGATGGGGCAGCCACAGCTTCCCTGGGCAACCTGTTCCATCTCTCCTATCTCCCTCAAAACAAGCATAGGGACACTTGCTCTGTCCATCCAGCATGGGCAATTTCTCTTTGCTGTCTGCACCTCCTAAAAACTCCAGGAAATGTGGAATTAAAGACTTTAAAATGCATTTAATAGTGTAGCCTGCCAGGCAGTTTGATGTTCAGCTTCTAACTCTCATTGCTCAGAAGCAGCAGTGAGGTTCCAGCAGCTGAGCAGCAGACCCCTGAGCTCCCCTACGTGTCTGCAATTTATGAACCCGGATTTGCAGACCGTGGGCACTTACTCCCCAACAGGAGGCTGTCACAGCTCATCTTACCATGTCCCCACAAGCCCAGGTGGTGTTAAAATGCCACCATTAAACCCAAGTTGTGAGGGAGGCACGAATCCACCGGGAATCCCCATGGAAAAGAAGCAGCCAGCACAACTCCAGTGTGTTTTCTCCCCCCTGCCCCCCTTAGCAGAAGCAGGCTAGTTTGCTCTCAGCATTTCTGACACAGCAGAGGAATAAATCTCAAAAAGGTGGTTTTTACCAGCCCAGGTGAAGCTCCTCTGCCACAATTTGAAGGTGCTGAGGGCACCCCCTGCCTGCTGCTGGACACCGCAGCTCGCTGGAACAGCTGGAGGCAGTTACCCCATTCCACCCCTGTCCCATCCCACAGGAGCTGGGGACTCTGCAGCTGTGCAGACACGTTTTCCTGCCAGCTTTGTGTAGCCTGCCCCAGAAAAAAAATTCAAATCCCAACATCCTTTCTGGGGGAGGCAGCTTTCATCCCCAACTAGCAAAGCATTTCTGACAGCGTCACAATTCTCCTGAGGTCAGGGCTGTGTCTCCAATGTGTTGCATAAGATGGAGATAGTGCTGATTTATCCTGCAGAGGAGAGAGGGTTTGAAGCCTGGCTTCATAAAGATCCAGTGAAAGCTGGAAGACAAAAGTGATTTCCTGGAGCTTCACTCTTGCTTCTTTGTATGAAACATGAAGGATGTTGATGTGGTAACTGGAACGGTTCCGATTCCCCTCGGATTCAGAGCTGCCCTCCTTCTGTCAGCAGAGTGGGTTTAAGGGAAGGCTGAGAGCTGGGTTTGTTCAGCCTGGAGAGGAGAGGGCTCAGGGGAGACCTTATTGCCATGTCCCAGGCCATAAAGGGTGGCTGCCAAGAAGATGGAGACTCCCTTGTGCCAAGGAGAAGGAAAAGCCAAGGGGTGATGGGTACAAGTTGCTCCTGGGGAGATTCCCATTGGACTCCAGGAGAAAATGTTTCCCCATGAGAACAGGTGGACATTGGACTAATCTCCCCAGGGAAGAGGTGGATTCCCCTACATGGGCCAGTTGGAAGTCTCAGCCTGACAGGTGCTGGGCCACCTCATTTCAACTGGGTGATTACCTGGAAAGATTGGACCGGATGATCCTTGGGGTCCCTTCCAACCTGGCATTCTATGATAATTTCCTTCTAATTTCCCCATCATCTCACATGAGGGTTTCTGCATCAATTCTGGGGCTTGGGATTAAGTCACAGAGGTGTTCCCAAAGCTGTTCCACTGATCCCACAGATCCTGACCCTCTCCTGAACCCTGGCTCCCTGCAGTGTGTTTCTCCTTTAGCAAACAAGGGCGAGCCTGCCACTCCAGTTCAAAAAAAACTCACACTCATGCTAAAAAATGTGAGCACGTTTCTATTTGCACTGCAAATGGTCAAATATTTGAGGGTTTCTCACCCAGACTTGCAAGAGCAGCCCAGAATCAGAAACACTGAAATTTTGGGTGCTGAAAGGGTGAGGGCAAACACTGGCCTTGTATCTTTGCTCTTCTTTTCTTTTCTGTGTCCATTTACCCTGATGAGCTCACTCTGTTACAGAGCCTTTCATGTGTGATCATGATGTAAAGATTATATTCATCTCTTGATGGAAGAACCTTTCCTCAACTGCTCTCCAATAAGCCCCTGAAGGTTTAACAGTGAAAGCACTCCTGTCCTGCTGGGCTGGTTTATATTGATTGCTGGAATTCAAAATGACCACTTGTTGGGGCCTGTCTTCATTTCATGTAGCTCCTCTCTTCTAAAGTTGTGCAACCCAGATGAGGATTGGAGGGAGCTGTATCAGATGTTTGAAAACGTGTAGCTCAGGGATTTAATCGATAGCCTGTTAATTTTTAAAAGTATCAGAGTAATTATAAAATACCATCTGCTGGCTGAAGCATTAGCTGACAGGCAGGGGCTTGTTTTTCTCTGTGGTTTTTGCCCTCCCAGGTTCTCCATATGATTTTATCTCTCTGGAATGGCTGCAGAAGTGGCTGGATGAGTCTACTCCTCCAAAACCTATAGACAACACAGCCTGCCTGTGTGCCCATGGCAAACTCCACCCAGATAAAATCTCCATGATGAAGAGGATATCAGAGTACGTGGCTGATTTCTTCTACCGGCGATATGGAGGAGGCCCCCGGCTGAATGGTGAGATGTTGGGCTGGGAAATGCCTTCTCTAAGTCACCTTCTCATGTGCTGAATGTGTTTTAGAGCCTTGTTCTGCTCTGCCATCCTCATCTGGAGCCATCCTTTCTCATCATAACTTTATTTCTGCATGTGGCTTTTGTGCTGCACTGTTATTTCCAGATTTTTTTTTTTCATGTGGTCACAGAGTCACCAGGGTTGGAAGGGACCTTGGAGATCATCCAGTCCAACCCCCTGCCAGAGCAGGATCACCTGCAGTAGATCCCCCAGCAACATGTCCAGATGGGTTTGGAATATTTCCAGACATTTTAGTATTACTTAATTATGTTAACATTCAAACAATTACACTTAGTCTGATTGCAGGGTCTGTTTCAGACCTGGGTTCTGCTCTGTCTAGGAAGAGCTGGGCCTGGAGGCATCTCTGAGAAAGCAACGGTGCATTTAGGTTAGAAAACAAAATCCTTGCATGGTTTAATGAAGTCGATCCTAGAAAATAACTGAACTTCCACATGCAACCCCCCCTACCTCCCAAGATTCTTGTAAAATGATTTTCCATGCCTGCAGCATCTCCAGATCCTGCGTGGGCAGGTTCCATGGAGCATGCAGGTCTGTGCCTGCTCTGGAGCAGCTCAGATGTGTGAGGACCAGGAAATAATCGATTGTCTCCCACCTGAGCCTGCCCTGAGCCACCTCATCCGAGGGAAGCACATACCTGTGAGCCTGTGCTGCACACATCTGTCATGCAGCTTGATTTTTGGGGTCAGCCCAGCCCCTCCAGTCTTTGGGCATCCCTTCAGCCAGCCCCAGGCTTGGTTTCTTTTTTCAAGGAGCTCAATAACTCCCACTGAGACCAAATTAGCTCAGCTCCTACTAGGAGCTTAGAGGGGAGAAACCCAACCAGCAGACACTGCTGTGACGCAGGCAGCCTTTGTGGAAAGAAAACAGGCCAAGGTTTCTCAGTCAACTGGAAGATTGCCTGCAGGTTTCTCCTGGAGGAGGGATGGGAAGGATGGGTTTGGATACTCCCTGTTCTCCTCTTTGTTTCCCTGGCTGCCACCCTCTTCCTCCCAGCTGAAAATCTCTGCCCAGCTGTAGGGTTTCTGCTCCTGTTGGCCCAGTGGAGCTTTGCAGGAGGTGTTTTTTTTCCGGGTTTAGCTTGTAAAGTGCCACAATAGAGGTGTTTTTTTTTTCTCTTGCGTGTGCCTTTTGACTGCTTGTCTGTGTGCTGGCATGACCTGGCAAACAGTTGATAGCAGCAGAGAGCTGTGCAGCTGAAACAGATCTCACCTCATCTCAAGTGCTTTACACCTCTTTAAGCTTCAAATGCGGCCTGATCTGGCAGTAACCCCAGGGATCTCATTTACGTGTGAAATCTCCAACCTTGAGGACCTGTCTGAGCGTGTTCAAACCTGGGAGCAGCTCAGCCACGGGGGCAATAAATTATCTGTCTGTCTTTCTTTCTTCCTTTCTCCCCCCCACCCCAGTCAAAGCACTTTGCAAGGACTGCGTGGTGGAGAGATGTCGGATCCTGCGCCTGAAAAACCAGTTAAACGAGGACTACAAAACTGTTACCAACCTGCTGAAGATAACAGTCAAGGGGTATGTGAGTCCTGATGTTCCCCTTTTAAAACGGCTCCCAAAATGCAGACAAAGAGCCCACTTTTAGGAAGCAGCCATGGTTGTTGATTGCAGGTTTGTACAAAGCTGGGTGCTCTGTGCCTTCCCACAAATCCAGCACCCCAAGGGAGATTTCCCAGGACACCTTTAGACACAAAACTATGAAGTTAGGAAGTTTTCAAGTGCTTTCTAGTGATTGGTTAGTGATTTACAGAGAGTTACATCCCTTTTTCTGCTCAGGGGAAGGGTCTTCACCAGGTCTTTTTGTCCTGAGGGTGTGACTTTTAGTGTTACAATGACACTATAATGAGCTAAGTTCACCTAAAGGACACAATATCAAAACTTCTGAAGCTCTTACTATCCAAGACTGAGGGCTGAACCAGTCTTCCTGATTTTTTTGTTCTTCTTTATCACCTCCTGCATTCCTGAGGTCCAATTATCCCTACAGACCTCAAGTCTTTTCTGCCAAGTTGGTGATTAACATGAGACACCCTCAAAACCTCTTGATTAATTGCCTTCTTCAAACCCTGGTTATTCCACGGTGTCCTTGCTGAGGGTTGTGGTACCACCTGTGTGTCTCTCTGCCTGCAGTTTGAACTTGCAGCACATCTTACACAAAATAACCACATCATCCTAAATTCCTGAGTCGTTTTTCCAACACTGAGGCTTTCAAACAGTTGGGTTTTTTTAGAAGTGCTTAACTTTTTTCCTGAAGATTGGAGGGCTTGGGGCTCGGAAGGAGAAGGGAGCAACAATTCACGTGTCCTACTCTGTTGTCTCTCTGCAGGAATGATGGGTTTTGGGTTGGAAAAGCATCCCTGAGGAGCTGGCGTCAGTTGGCTTTGGAGCAATTAAATGAGCAAGATGAAGACACGGAGCAAAGCAACGGGAAAATGAATGGGGATGCACAAAACAAAGGTAGTTACCAGCTCTGACTGATACCCCCTGCCAGGAGACACTTGGGGTGCTCCTGCAGCTGCTTTTGCTTCCCTTGGATGAGGAGGGAGGGGAAGGATAACAAATGAAGGAGCTTTTGATTTGATAAGCTTCAAAACTGCTGGCTGGTCTTCAGACTGGGGAAGATGATGAGGTAATAAGTAGTTTTATAAAGCTGTGTGAAATCACTCCCCCCCCAGACACATGATCTCTTCATCTGCTTTTATCTGAATGAGAGAGCACAGGGGAGGAAGAAACATGAATATTACCTTGGGGAAGGGATGAAGATGTTTATTGGAAAGGTCTGTGGGTGAAACAGCCCAATGGGTAAAGCAGCACTGGGAAAACAGCCTAGGGAAAAAAAAAACCCACCTCATTAATTGAGCTCTGTGAGAAGAGATGGGGATTTTTGTTTGCCTTTTGCTCCTTAAACCTTTGGAAACTGGGTATTTTGTGGAGCTTTTTGCTTCAGAACTGAAGGCAAGAAGGTTGGTTGAATGACAGTGCAGATGATGGGCACCGATGTTGGGCTGGAAGCTCCTCCAGCAGCCCAGCCCTGATGGGACCTGGGAGCAGGTGCTTCTGGTGGAGCACCCATTGAGGAAAGGGTGCTTCTCTGCTGAGGAGCCACTCCTAGGTGGTGACTTTGGTTTCATAACAGGTCGCAGCTCCCAGGAGTCCACTTGAATTGCTCCCAAGCCACCTTGCTCGTTAGGCAGGTCATAACGTGTCATAATGTGTGGATAAACACATTCTTGTGTTTATGATGCTCCAATTCATGGGCCAGCTCTTCTGCCTGGGGAGTGGTGGCTCCGCTGTAATTTATACATCAATGAGGGGCTTCTCAGCCCCTTGGCAGCTCCCCCTGGGTTTGTCGGGCAGCATCTGGTTTGGATCAGGATCCTCAAGGCAAAGAGCAAACTAATATTTTGCCGGGAAGATTTCTGCTCCCTGGGCTCTTACCTAGGCTTGTGTTTAAGTTGAACTCAGATCTCTGGGAGCAGGGAACCCCCCGTGGCGCTTTAGCTCTAACAAATGCCTCCTTTGTAATCTCACAAAGGACCAGTTTGTGCTCCACGAACTTCAAAGCACTCCTACCAGGCCTGGAGGCTGTAATCCAGCCTGCCCAGGGGCCAGGACGTTGGAGAATAACAAATGTCCTTCCAAAATCTCCCTTGGGACTAAGGGGTGGGTTTTTTTTAGAAGGCAACCATGTTCCTTCCCCAAAAAGGTTTTCCTTTCCTTGGGTTGAAGAGCTCCATGCAATCTTGTTTTGTTGAGTGGTTTGGTTTTTCCTTTTCAATTAGATGAATCGAATGAAGAGAAGAGAGAGGAGGAAGAGGAGTTAAATTTTAATGAAGACATCGTTTGCCCACATGGTGAGTCTCGACGGGGGATGGAGCTGAATGTAACTGTTGTTGCCCACTGCTCGAGGCATTAACCTTGTACCCTTTGCTCCCTCTGAGGCCAACACCAGTAGCTACTGAAAAAAAATGCTCTTAATTCTGGTTTCCTGGTGTTCCTTCCCAAGTTTGGAGCTTGTATTTGCAAGCAGTGTCACCGGGCAGTCCCCAGTGTGCAGGGCTGAGAAGGGTCTCCCTGACATGAAGGAGCCAGGGCAGCACCTCAGATCCTGCAGCAGCTTGGAAGCTCTGAAAGTGATAGGAGAAAAAAAACAGGGGGTGTAAAGCAGTCAAGAGGAGAGAGCAGAGTATTAATTTATTCTCTCAGTTTACATGAAAACAGGAGCACTTACCTAACAACTGCAGAAACCCCGGGGTGAAGGGGATCGATTTACCAACCTGCTGTGCTTTGGTGCCCATTTACATAACGTTGTGACCCAGGCTTGATTGTTATGTTAAGTGATGGTTCATTAGCCACATCCTTGGCTACCTTCTTGTTTAAATCTCACTTTTTTGGTGTTTTTTTTTAACTTCTGCGTCCCTCCCAGACACAAGTCTTCCAGTCAGCTCCTCTATGGACCCATCAATTTCACATCCCAGTCTTGGTTCATATAAGAAAGAAACAAGCCAGAAATTAGCACCACACCTCCTATCATCAGGGCTAATCAAGGATGTAGAGTAAAGCCTTGATAAAGGCTCATTAGGAATAGAGTGTTTAAGCACTTTTGCAGGGCCTTTTGTGCCTATTTCCCATTGCCTCGAGGTAGCTGCTGTGAAATCAAAGCAGGCAGCCTGGTGCTGGAGCACTTGATAGAGACAATCAGGATAAAAATGGGCCAATAAGCCTTTGAAAATATTAATGCTGGTAAATAGCTTGTTGGTCTGAATCTGAATATCTGAATGAATAATATTAAATATGGAGGCTGCTTGCAGGTCAGATTTTATTATCTTGAGCTGCCCTGTGGTTGCTCACAGAAAACAACCTTCCCACCTTTACAATTTTATAGAATCATAGGATGGTTTGGAAGGGACCTTAAAGATCATCCAGATCCAACCCCCTGCATGGGCAGGGACACCTCCCACCAGACCAGGCTGCTCCAAGGCCCATCCAACCTGCCCTTCAACACTGCCAGGGATGGGGCAGCCACAGCTTCCCTGGGCAACCTGGGCCAGGCTCTCACCACCCTCACAGCAAGGAATTCCTTCTTAATGTCCAACCTAAATCTCCCCTCTTCCAGTTTTAATCCATTCTCCTCATCCCATCCCTCCCTGCCCTTGTCCCAAGTCCCTCCCCAGCTTTCCTGGAGCCCCTTCAGGCACTGGAAGGTGCTCTAAGGTCTCCCTGGAGCCTTCTCTTCTCCAGCCAGAACACCCCAACTCTCCCAGCCTGTCTCCAGAGCAGAGCTGCTCCAGTTCTTAGATCATCTCCATGGCCTCCTCTGGACTCTCTCCAGAACCTCTAGGTCCTTCTTATGCTGGGGGCTCCAGAACTGGACACAGTGCTCCAAGTGGGGTCTCATGAGAGCTGAGTAGAGATGGAGACTCCCCTCCCTGGCCCAGCTGGTCATGCTGCTGGTGATGCAGCCCAAGACATAGTTGGTTTCTGGACTCCAGCACACTGTTCCAACCCATGTTGAACTTCTCATCCACCATCACCCCCAAGTCCTTCTCCTCAGGGCTGTTTTCCATCCATTTTGATCCATTTCCCGCTGCAGTTTATCAGCAAATCTATAGTCTCCTACAGCCCTGATTTTGCTGTGGAGAAAGTCCCTGCCTTCATGGTAGGCTCTGGAGAAGCCAGGGCTGTGTCTGGGGGGTCTGGCTGCTCTCCAGCAGTGCCATCCAGGCCTTCCTTTCACAAGCCCCTTTCCATCTCTGCAGCAATTCCTCACTCTCCAGTAGCTCCCTGAGCCCAGCAAATAATTTTTTCCAGACACCAAATTAAGACTCTTTGATGTCCCTGCCCAAAAACGTGTCCCTGGATGGTGGGAGGGGAAGCAGCTTCAGCAGTGGTTGGGATCATCTCCCAGATGGCAAAGCACTTGTTCCCTGCACACCCAGATCTGATTTTTCCAC